GCAGACACAGGGCAGCCGGGAAAGGGGAGCCCCCGAGGCAGCTCCTGCTAGCCCTGAGATGCCCCCCAATCCACGGGCCCTTTGCCGCGCCTGGTGACCTGGGGTTGCTTTTCCAGCTCTTCTCCATCGCTGGGAGCCCCGTGGGTGCCCCCTGCCAGCGTCCCCTCCTCCCCTGACCTCAGGCCCCGCGGGGTAGGGCAGCTCCGCTCGGGGCCCGCGCATGGAGCCGTGCCCCGGAGAGAGGTGTCTGGGGGCTCGGGGCCATGCGCTCGGTGCAGATCGGGAGGAGGCATCACCAGCAGGTGCATGCACAGGCACAGGCGCACTCCCTTTCCCCAGGCCCTGGACCCGGTTTGCTCCCTGCAGGGGGTCGCATCCTGCCTGCAGACTGTGGCCGTGCTCCCACGGCCCTCGCACGGCTGGAAGGGGGGAGCGTGCTGCCTCCAACTGCCTGTCCCAGACCGGTGCTGCCGGGGACCTGCTTCTTGTCCCTCTTGAGCCCCCGGTAGAGGCTTGAAACGGAGACTCCCAGTGTTGTAGGAACCTACCTGGGCCCGAGCCAGTCCCTCCGGCCCCTGCCCCGGGCACCCGGTCCCCTGTGTCCTCCCGGCGGGGCCTGCAGCTGGCTGGATCTGCGGGGCCCGGGCTGGCTGTGCAGCGGGAGAGCTGCTCCGCGCCTCGGAGAACTGGGTTAATTGGGCCGGGAGGCTGGGCTGGCCGTTGCTAGGAGCCAGCTCCTCGTCGTGCATGCGCTGGATCCTTCTGCGCCGGCTGCTGCAGCGTGCAGGGCCAACCCGGTGTCCCCGGGCCCCTGGCCCCACTCGGCTTGGGCCGCGCGCTCCAGCAGGGCCCGGCGCGGGCGGCTCCTCCTCGGTGGGAGCTGGGATCATGCTGGGAGCTTAGATTACATTTAAATTGCCATTTGCATTTTCCAATCAATACGCGACTTTACAATTAAGTTTGGTGTTAAAATTCTTCGCGAAAAGTGAGTGGAAGGGAGATTTGTGGAGCAAACGAGTCCTTTGGGGGCCATCGCCGCTCCCTGCTTCATTACGCTGCATATTGCTGCTGCTGCTTTTACTGTGCGCTGCCACGATCCAAGCGCCGCGCGCAGCGATGGCGCACGGGCCAGCCGGCGCGGTACGACGCGGGG